CTCCCAAGGCAGGGGGCCCGGGTTTGATCCCTGGTCAGGGAACTAGATCCCACACGCATGCCGCAACTACGGAGCTGGTGAGCCACAACTAAGGAGCCTGTGAGCCTCCACTAAGGAGCCTGCCTGCCACAACTAAAAGATCCCGCACACGGCAATGAAGATCCAGTGTGCCGCAATTAAGACCCGGCTCAGCCAAATAAATAAATAAATAAACAAATATAAAAAATAATTGGCATTATGGGGCTGCCCTTCAAGGCCACGGTGGGCTTTGACCCTGGGCAGCCCCCTCTGGTCACCCGTCGGTGAACAGAGGAAAAGCACCGAACCTCCGAGTTTAAACATGCTGCACGTCCTTCTGACATGCCCCAGGTCACACTGCAGCAGCTTCCCAGCCAACCCCTTCTGGTTTTGTCACATACTTACGTTTATTGGAAGGCTAGTTTTTTCTCTCTGTTTTTTACTCCTTTCATTAAAAAATATGTTCTTATATTACAAAAGAAAACTGCCTTCTTTTTTAAAATTTATTTATTTTTGGCTGCGTTGGGTCTTCATTGCTGCGCGCGGGCTTCTCATTGCAGTGGCTTCTCGTTGCAGAGCACGGGCTCTAGGTGCGCGGGCTTCAGTAGTCGTGGCACGTGGGCTCAGTAGTTGTGGCTCGCAGGCTCTAGAGTGCAGGCTCAGTAGTTGTGTTGCACGCGCTTAGTTGCTCCGCAGCACTTGGGATCTTCCCAGACCAGGGGCTTGAACCCGTGTCCTCTGCATTGGCAGGCGGATTCTTAACCACTGCGCCACCAGGGAAGCCCCCGAACCGCCTTCTTGTCATAAGAATCCAAGCAATATATTATTCCTTTAATGGAAGGCTAGTTTTCTCATTTATTGCTTTTTTTCTTGAGTAACTTAAAATGATGTTTTACACTTTAAGGTAATATAAGAATGCATGCTTGTAAAAATTCTACAAGCTTGTAAAAAAATTTACAATGCTTGTAAAAAAAATTTTTAACAACGTAGAAGTGTAAAAGGAGAATAATGGAACTCTGCCTTCACACCTCATCCTACCCCCAATTCCACCCACCTCCAGGCCTCTGAAATGGCTTTTGTTCTCTAGATCAGGGGACCCTTGGGAATCTCGTAGACACACCCCTCAAAGCCATTGCTAAGTTGAGGGGAGGTGGCCCTTTCCAGTGACAGGAACATGAGTTGAAGATCAGGATTGGACAGTTGGTTCTACGATTGATTTGCTGTGTGACCCTCAGGAATTCACATAACCTCTTCGAGCCTCCTGCTGTATGCCCTCAAGCACCGGCATAGATTCTCTGAGGCTCGGTGACCTCCTTGGTAGGCTACCCAGGAGGAGACTTGGGATCGGGGCTCTGAAGCCCTGATGTGTCGGTGTCCTGCGAACAGCCCAGGTGACTGTGTTGTGTTGTGGTCTTGGCAGGTTGGGGACCAGATTCTGGAGGTGAATGGGCAGAGCTTTCTCAACGTCCTGCACGACGAAGCGGTCAGGTTGCTCAAGTCATCCCAGCACCTCATCCTGACGGTGAAGGATGTCGGGAGGCTGCCCCGTGCCCGAACCACCGTGGACAAGACCAAGTGGATTGCCAGTTCCCGGATCGGGGACACCGCCACGAACTCAACAGGGTGTGGCTGCCCTGCTCTCTCGCCCTGAGCCCCAGGACCCCAGGGCCATTTCTGAAAGCCAGTAACAGCCCTTCCCACCTCTTCACCATGCACCATGCCCTGACCTGTGAGGACTGCGCTGATTCCCAGAGCCTGTGGTCCCAGCCCCGGGGTCCCTTCCGTTTGCCGGGCAGGACCTCGGGCACATCCCTTGTCCCCTCCTGGCCTTGGTTTCCCTTGGAAAGCTGAGCCACAGGATCCGGCTCTCCCGTTCTTTATTTGCCCCCCAGCAAATCACATAACTTACTTTTTGGCCCTCAGTTGCTTTGTCTGAGGAGTGGGAATCATAACCCCAGCCCCCATCCCGGGTGTGTGGATGAGGATCCCATGCGTCACTTGGGTGAAAGGGCCTTGGGAGTCATAAAGTGAGATACAGTTGCCAGGTGGCTGTGCAGCTGCTAATAATGTAAAGTGTCACCTTTGGACTTCCATCAGAAGTCTCAGACTGGCTGGTGGCCCCCAAGCCAAACACACCCAGAGCATCTCTTTCTCCCTTCTTCCTCTCTTCCTTTCACCTGCACAGTATTATAATTTAAAAAAATTAGTTACCAACATTTAAAAGGTCATCTGGTTTCCCATGAAAAAAACTGGATTTCTGGCTGCTTCTTGAAAATCAGGGATCCTGGCAGCTTGAGCCCACGTTTTTTTGTGAAAATAGACTGGAACCAAGCTGCGCCTGCGCATTGCACTTCAGCATCTCCAGCTGACCCCATCCCCACCCTCCCTAACGTTGGCCTGAACCCGAGGCCTCGAGGCAGTTGCCGTTTAGTCTCTCCTCTCCGTGTTACCTCCCTGGCCCCTGTAGTGTTGGAAACAACTCAGGATACCACCTTGCATGGTTTTAGAAATGCCATCCACATGGTTGGTCAGGAGGACAGAAGCTGCCCGTCTGTCCAGGGGTTGATATTCCCTTGAGTGGCCCCGGCGAGTGCAGGCCAGAGTTCTCCCAAAGCTTTGCTCATCCCGCAGCAAAGCAGCCGTTCCCTTCCCCGTGCCTGTTTGAACTGCTCAGACGTGAGGCTGAACATGCTTATCTTTCTTCATAGCTTTCCTGGGGATCTCACAGCAGAGGGGACCAGCAAGGTAGGCTCTGCTCTCTGTCTGGGAGCCTTCAGCTTCTTCATAGCTCCCCGTGCGGGGAGCTCTGGGCCTGGCAGGGTGGGGCTGAGAGACTCACGGACACGATCTCATTGCACTTGGGCAGCCCCGCTGACTGTCCATCCTCCGTCCTACACACGTCTGTGAGTGCCGCCGGGTTCTGGGTACCGCCCTGGACACCTGGGTTAACGGCACGAACAGAACAGATCAGGTCCCCACCCTGGTGGAGGTTATCCCCAGTGAAGGAGACACACATCAGAACAAAACAAAACTGCACATGTATCTAATCACAAAAGACTTTCAGTGCCATCCAGGAAAGGTGCTGCGTCTGATGAGAGAGAATGACAGAGACACCTAGTTTAGATTGGGGGAGAGGCCAGAGGGAGAGGGCAAGGGGTCTCTGAGGTAGTGACACGGTGTCTGGGCCGTAAACTGAACGTGAAGTGGAGGTTAGTGAGATCAAAGTCTGGGCGGGAGCAGGAGAGGGATGATGTAGGCAGAGGGCACAGCATGTGCCAGAGCCCTGAGGCAGGTGCCACACTTGGCTTGTTGGTGGGAGAGCCAGATCACACAGGACTCAGTGGGTCGTGTAAGAGGTTTGCCTGCTAACCTAAAATGATAGGTTGCCGCTGAAGGGCTTAAACAGGGGAGCAAGGTGAGGAGATCTGTGTTTTTACGAGGTCCTCTCAGCAGCTCCGTGTAGGTGACAGAGAGAGGCAGAAAAGACAAGGAGGGAGACCGGATGGCGTCTTAGACACAGCTGACGGTGGCAGAGGCAGTGCCGGGAAGGGTGGAGCGTGTGGGTGCAGATCTGAGCTATGTTTTGGAAATAAAATTACTATTATCCCCGTACCAAGAAAGATATTTCAACCTAGAGAGTAAAATGGGCACCATAATAATAATACTGCTTGACTCTGAATGGTCATGAGGCTCTGATGAGATAACATATGTAAACGTGCTACATGAGCCGGGAAAGCACTTTGCAACTGCATGAGGCCGCGTGCTCTGGGAACATACCGGTGACATCTGCAGCTTTCCCATGTGGGCCGAGACCTCAGAGGGACCCACCCCATCCCTCGGCAGGGTGGTCGCTGGCTGGGCCTGGCCATTTGCCTCCAGAGCAGCTCCGAATTCCCAGGCCTCTGTCTTGCTGTCTTTCAGCTGGGGTTTTACAAGGGGCCGGCCGGCTCCCAGGTGACCCTGAGCAGCCTGGGGAACCAGACGCGGGTGCTGCTGGAGGCGCAGGCGCGGCACCTGCTGAGCGCGCAGGAGCGTGCCACCATGGCCTACTACCTGGAGGAGTACCGCGGCGGCAGCGTGTCCGTGGACACCCTCGTCATGGCCCTGTTTGAGCTGCTCAACACCCATGCCAAGGTGACCCGCGCCTCCTCGGGCGAGGCGGGGCTGGGGGCGCCTGGCTTCAGCTCTCAGGGTCTCCGCATCCTTCCCTGCTGCCCTCTGTCCCCCACTCCTCTCCTGAGAGCCCACAAAGAGTCAGGCCCAAACTGAACCCCAGGCGGAGGCTGGTGACCGAGACAGACCCTGCCCCGGGGGAGCCCGCAGACTCCTGGGGAAACTGTCAGTTAAGGTCCCATGTGATTGGGGCCCTAACGCAGCGGCTTTCCATGCTGAGTGTACGTTCAGAGTCGTCTGGATTGCTCTTAAAGAGCGATGCTCAAGCCCCACCCCAGGCTGGCTGACCACACACCTCTGTGGGTGGGAGCCGGCCACCAGTAATTTTTACGAGACCCCCAAGTGACTGTGCCATGCTGCCCTCTTTGAGAACCCTGCTCTAGTGGAAGTCTGTTTGAGGTTGAAAAGCTGCACCGAAACGCAATTTGGAGAGGAGGGGGAAGGGACAGCCAGGGGCTTCCTGTTGAGGGACTTGCAGCCTTCTGTGCAGGCTGAGATCCAGGGGAGGAAGTGGGGAGATGGAGGCAGGGGTCAGATGATGCTGGGCCCGGCCTCCAGGCGAAGGTGCTTGGACTTTTCTCCCAGCACAGTGGGGAGCCACGAGGGTGAAGGAGGGGAGGCCAGTGGCCAGGTTTGCATGCGGGTCATTTGGGGTGTCAGGGGGCCGTCCCACCTGCTGGTGGAGCTCCCCGCTGAGTGCCCGCCTTGTCCCTGCCTCCAGTTCTTGCTCCTGTCTGAGGTGAGAGGTACCATCTCCCCCCAAGACCTGGACCGCTTCGACCACCTGGTGCTGAGGCGGGAGATCGAGTCGATGAAGGCACGGCAGCCCCCCAGCCCTGTGGCCGGGGACACCTACTCCATGGTCTCCTGCAGCGACACAGGCTCATCCACGGGCAGCCACGGCACCTCCACCACTGTCAGCTCAGCCAGGGTGAGCTGCCCCTGCCCCATCCCTGGCTTTCTGGCCAGCAGGGGCATTAAGATAACGGCTTTGGAGTGAGACCCATCCAGGTTCGAATCCCAGCACTGGGCGTCTGTGCTGGGATTCGAGCCCTTGCCAGCTTTTGCCTTTCCGAGCCTCAGTTTTTTCACCTGTGAAAACCTCCTAAGGGTGCCTGCTGCATGCCAGGCATGGGCTCTAGGACACAACCGGTGAACAAGGCAACTGTGGCCCTGCCTCAGGCGCCCAGAGTCTGGGGGATAGGGTGCAGGCTGGGGGAGAAAGGCGAAAAACACAGGCCATGAGACAAATAGAAAAAATAATGCCAATCCATGTGAGGATCCCATGAGAGACCACACAGGGCATTCGTGGTCGTGGTCGTGGTCGTGGTGACTGGGATCTTCCCTGAGACACACCCTCCTGATTCTCTGGAGCCCCAAGGCCCAGCCTGACTTTCTCCCAGACTCGCCAGCCCCTAGAAAAGCATCTGGTCCATCTCATGGTGTGACTCTGCCCCCAGCATGCTCAGAGGCAGATTAACCCCAGGAGGCCTTTGTCAAGAAAGGGCAGAGGAAATGCCTTATTATCCATCATGGGGAACAGCCAGTGATTTAGGTCCATGCCTTGGGGAGAGCTGGAGCTGGAGGTCAGGAGAGCCGGCTTGGCCACATCCTCTCCTTTCCTGTCTGTCGGTCATTCAGCACCTCTCTGCTGTGGAAAGGGAGTGGGGAAGTCGAGTTCCTTAAACACTGTTACTCCCAGACACTGAACTGGGAGCTCTTCCCGGTGGAATCTCTGTTAGACTGTGTTCGTTGTCCTGTTGGGGGAGCAGGAGGTCTGAGAGTGCAGTGATGTCCACCTGCAGACACAGGTGGTAAGTGGGCACAGATGAGCTTGCAGCCACCAGGAGACAGCCCTGGAGCATGTGTGCCTTTCCCTTGGGGACTCCAGCTCCCAATATAGCTTTTTTTTTTTTTTTTTAGCTCTGGGGATCTGAGTTTCTGGGGAAACTTCTCCTCTACCTCCTATCCCTACCGTCCCAAGTCACCTTCATCCCCCAAGAGTCCTCGTCCTTCCTGGGGCGACCAGGAAGCTGCCACATATTCCTCCTGGCTCTGGACGCAGCTGCAGTGGAGGCGATGTCATGCTTCAGGATGAGCAGATCACTTCTGGGGCAGAGGGAGGAGGCTGCCTCCTGCCTGGGGCTGCATGTTTGGCTCTGATGTAGCACACAGGTGATGAGCTGGTTTCAGGCTGCGGGGCCCTGGCCCGAGGGTTAATTTCTCTCTGGGTCCAACTCCACAGAGATTGGCTTGATGACGTCCATGTGTGGCTTCACATCAGTCACTGCTCTAAAACTTGGAGGATTGCCGACTATAATTCTGGGATGGTCCCTTTAGAATCAGGGATAAGAAATCCAGTGGGTGGGATGGGGTGTGTTCTGACCTGGGAGGCAAGAGGTTTAGGTTAAATCACCTGAGGCCCTGGGTGGCCCTGGCCACGGCAGCCTGAGGCCCTGATGGCAGGCCAGGCTGCAGCACTAAGACGCCTCAGGGTAACTATTATACCCAGGAAGGGCTCTGGGCAGGGGTCCCAGCCCCAGCTCAGCACTGGCCTCCCATGACCCTGTCCCAGCCCGGGGGTCTCTCCTGCACCTGGGGAGTGCTGACCCTGGCCATCTGAGCCCCAGCTGTGGCAGTTGACCCTGCCCTGCCAGAGAGACCCTCTCTGTGGATTGGAGCACCCTGGGAAAGGCAGACTTCAGAAAGGCCACGGGATGATTTTGAGCAGAGAGTTTGTGGGACAGATGGAAGGGGTCTCCCAGCTTCTGATATGGGAATAACCATGAGTCTGAGACCCACTGGATAGCTTGGGCATGTCAGATCAGGGCTAACCAAGACCAGGGCGAGCCCTCGGAGGTGGGTGCTAAGAGAACATCGTACAGGCAGGAGAGGCAACGTGGAAAGGCTGCCTCGATCCGCAGTGCCTCCGTCTCCCTCCTCGGCGTTGGGGCAGCCGTGCTGCTTTCCCCAGCTTGTTGGGAGGAGTAAAGGATGAGTAACATCCCAGATGTGCTGCCCACAGCCCGAAGGCAGAGGAAACCTCTGTTCTTCCTGACCTGTCCCAGCCTGCCCGGAAAAACCACCCTGTATCCGGGGCCTTGCAGGCACTTGGTGGCTTCTGGAAAGCACTGGGCTGAGGACCTGCCACGCCCCCTCCAAACTTCATCCCCCGCTGGGTGCTCTCCACACGCACAGCCCAGGGCTCCAGTTTGCAGACGCTGAGCTTCTCTGCCACCACGGGGCCTGGGCCTCCCTGAAATCTGGGTCTTCTCTGATCGAGGCTTCTGAACAGGGTCCTCCTTCAGGCTCTGCCTTTCACTTGCAGGTGTGACCTTGGACAAGTCACTTCCCTTTGCTTAGCCTCAGTTTTCCCATCTACCAAGTGGGAATAATGACCCTAGCCTCAACTGCTAGAGAGCCCCAGGATTGCCTCCAGGGGCATGACCATCTCCTGAAGGCCCTTTTTAAGGACACGTGTCATTTCTGCAGAGCAGTGAGGAACCCCTGGTTTCCTTCAAGGAGGCAGTTAGAACGAGGCCATGCTGATTGTAGCAGTGGGGTTTCCTCACCCCTTCTTTATTCTTGCCCACAGCATCCCAAGTAAAGAAAAAAGGGACTTGGAGAATCCCTTTGTTTATTTTGCCTTTGTGTGTGTGTGTGTGTGTGTGTGTGTGTGTGTGTGTGTGTGTGTGTTTGGGAAGGGGGTTTGCTGTGCCCATTCCATCCCTAATATTTATTTGATGTATTTTTCTTTTTGCCTTTTGCCCACCCTTCCTCCCCAGGAGCGGCTGCTGTGGCTTATAGACCTGATGGAGGTACCGTCCTTCCTGCCAGGGGGGTCTGTGGGAGTGCCTTAGCTGCGGCAGAGGCAGGGGGCTGTGGTCCTTCCCCCCACCTCCTTACACCCGCACCCAGCCCTGGTGGGGAGCTGGGCTTCTTCGGGGTGCTCACTGTCTCTCCTGTTTGCCAGTTCATCAGGTTTTTCAGGCTCTGGAGTGAGAAGGCCCTGTGTTCAAATCCCAGCTCTGCCACTTCCTTGCTGTGTGACCTCAAGAAGTAATTTCACCTCTCTGAACTCAGTTTTATAAAACGAGGATGATAATTCCTGTGCCGTGGAGCGGTTGAGAGACGTCTCGGCCTTCGCATGTGCCACACAATCTGTCTGTCTGGGGTCTTCTCCTTCCCACGTCACATGGCCTGGCTAGCTCCTGTGTGTGCTTCAGCCCTTAGCTCACATGCCACCTCTTCCAAGCAGACTTCCCTGATCCTCTCAAGGAGGGTGACTTTGAGCCTCTGGCTCCTTCAGCCCCTTGGGCTTCTTGCTGTTATGGCTCTTGTGTCATTATATTCCAATAATTTGTACAAGACTGGCTGGTTACCCGCCTTGACTGTGGGCTGCTTGAGGGCAACAACTGTGTTACCATCGAATCCCTAGTGCTCAGCGTAGAGCCTGGTCCATATTAATAATTTGGGCCTTTATTAATAATAATAGTGGCTGGCATTTGTCAAGCATCTCCATGACACTATGATAATGCTTTCCAACTGTATCTTCTTTGACCCGCCCAGTGACTAGGTGTGGCAAATACTGCTATGATCCTCATTTAACGGAGAAGAAAACTGAGGCTTAGAGAGAAGTGACTTGTTCAAGATTGCTCAGCTAGTGAACAGTGGAATGTGGTTTCAGACCCAGAGGCCTGCTTACCTCTGAGCTGGTGCTGTTAACACTGCAGTCTGGTTGTGATTCTTCCCTGAAGTCTATCTATCTATCTATCTATCTATCTATCTATCTATCTATCTATCTATCTCCTCTCTCCCTCTTTCTCTTCCTTCTGTTCTGTTACCAAATATCAATTGAGTGATTGCTATGTGCTATATCCAGTTCTAGGTGCTGGGAATACAGTGGTGAAAGAAATACAAAGAAATTCTTTCCATTATGGAATTTAGGGTAGAGCAGGAATGACAGACTAAACCCCATAAATAACTGAAATG